AGCCTAGGGGTTGGGGCAGGGGAAGGCGCCGTGCCCCCGCACAGGTGGGCGGGACGTTGGCGCGCCTGGCTCCCCGCTCATAGAGCACTGCCCAGCGGGTTACCCAGCTCCCTTCCCGCCCCTCCGCAGCCCTCCTGGCAGCTCCGACTCTGCTCTCTTGGCTACCTGGGTTTTGGGGAGGGTGATAGAGTAGGCCGCACCCGGGGCACTGCGAATGGAGGACGCTGGAATTTAAGGAGGGGACGAGGAAGACGCAGCTCTGTTTCCGCTGTACCCTCTCACCTCCCACTGTTCTCTGTGCCTTCGGGCTCCGAGTTGGGCCAGGTGCAGAGTGAGAGACCCAAGGCGATCTGCGGGGGGCGGGAGGGGGAGGGCGCTGTGTGGCCCCAAGCCGGCCGCGCGTACGCGCTCTGCACCTGTTGGAGCGGGCTTCTGCCTGCTCGGACCTGAGCCGGGCCTCCACGACACAGGCCCATTGGGCGGCACAGTGGCCACAGCTGGGTTAGGTTTAAAAGGAAAACAAAATGGGGTGGGGGGAGTGGGTTTACGGTTGCATGCATGGACGCTCCGGGTCAGCTCTTGATGAGGACCAAATATCGGTAGGTCTCCTGGGGCTGCAGCCAACAAGCTGACAGCTGAGGACGGAGACCTGCTCCCGGGCCTTGGCACTGCTGGAGATCGTTCAGCTTGAGATGCAGTTTCCACAGAAAAATTCTGTTATTTGGAACCAGAGTGAGCCTTTATAAAAACTGCCAGAGTTGGGGATAAACCTGTGTTAAAAAAAAAAAAAAAAAATCCCCTGTGTGTCCACATATTAGTCAGTATCCACTCCAGGTAAAAGTTTCTACCATTGAGTAAAAGGAAGGCAAGTTTATGTCTGGGACGTTTTTGAAACAGCACCTCTCTGCTTGTCTGCTGTTTCAAAACTAGTTGTTGCTAATCACCCACATTTTGTTTTGTTTTGTTTTGGTTAGACTTGGTGAGTTTTGTTTTGTTGTTGTTTTCAACTTAAAGCAAGAATTAAAAGTTAATTCTGAAACTTCATGTACGCTTTGGCTTCAAATCCTAACATTCAGCATAGGTTTACGCACAGAGAGTGCCAGGTCTGATATATGTGTCAGTCCTTATTTTCATTCAGGGTTTGTTAGATAGATGCTCAAATCATTGAGGGAGGGAAGTCTTGGATGAGGGCACCATTCACCAGGGTGTCCATGAGACACTTTATAACCTAAGTGTCTTTCAGACTCTGAGATGTGGGGTTGGGTTATAAACTACGGACATTAAATCTGTTTAGCATCTGGAACCTGGGTCCTAGAAGGCTATCTCCTCCCTAATTCATCCAGACATCAAAAGTAGATCCAGCAATTGATCCCATGTTTAGAGGCCCTCAGTGACTCTGCAGCCCCAAGGGGAGCCTCACCTCCCAGAACACAGCACTGACGCTTTTCTGACAGTACAGGGGATTGACTCCAAGCCCAGCACCACTCCCACTCCCTCTGTCCTTCAGTTCCCATGTGTGTCTCAGACTCCGTGGCCCTGCAATGGCAAGGAGTGACCTGAAGTCCAGAGCCTCACATGACCACAGGACTCTCAGGTCTAAAGAGTGGCACTTGTTGGAGACCTGCCCCCAGTCCCCACCCTTAAGAGGCTCTGGGAATGGGGTGGGTGAACAGCCTGTGTGGCCATGGCTTCTGGCTCTGGCCTAGAACTTGCTGCCGGATTGTGTCTTCCTCAAATTTTATCATAGGTGAGTGCTTACCAGGAGTGGCTCCCACAGAGCTTCCCCATTCACCCAAACCTGCCTGGAAGAGCACCCTAGTTCAGCCACCCAAACCTCACCTCTCACCCTCTTCCTGTTAGCACTGCCCTTTCACCTTCTTATCCCTGCCAGGGACCCGTTTCTTACCAGAAGAGATACGTAAATTGTGAGTATCCCACAGAATTTAATAAGAACCTATTTTGCGCCAGGCACTGGGCTACAGGTTGGGGATACAAAAACCAACAAGAAGCAATTCCTGCCCTCTCAGAGCTCATGGTGTTTGATAGGGGAATTTATTCCTTCATTCATTAATTCACTAAAATGTACATTGAGTACCTACTGTGTGCTAAGCCCTGGGGAATGCTAAGTGCTTGGGCAGACAGCGATGAAGACAAGTATAGCCCCTGCCATCCTCAGAATGCTAACATATAGATTCATGGTCCATAGGTGACACAGACATTAATCAAACCACTTGGCAAGCAGAGAATTAAAAGCCATGATAAAGAGAATCACAGGATGCTTTGAGCACCTGTAGAAAGGCCAGGAGACGGAAGCCCAGCTGAGTGGGAGGGACCATGGGAGGTGCAGGACCCTGGCATATACCTGGCAGAACCTGGCTTGGTGCTTATCTTCTCCTGAAACATGGCCATAGACCCTTGAGAAGGCCACTTCCTGGGCCCTATCCCTCATTCTCCACACAGAGGAAATCTGCCAGCCCTTCTGCATGGTCCCTCCCTCTCTGAGGATGTCCCGGCATCTCTCTTTGCTGCCGGTTGATTGGCGACAGGAGGTTCTAGTGCCCCACTAAAGTTTTCAGGCCAGCTAAGGGGCGGGACTTCAGGCTTGTGGGGCCGCTGAGTCCCAGCCTTCTGTGCTCCATGGGCCATTGGAGGAGGAGGTGGGATTGGGGCATTTAATAAAAGAACTCCTAGGAGAGGATCAAAGAGGTTTGGCACATTCACATTCAAAAACCTTGCCCATCCCCCAGCCTCCACTCCACTGGTTCTCTGGCTTTCTCATTTGTAAGGCCTGGCTAGGATAAGTCCCCCCCCCCACCCCGCACCCCTCAAAAGAGTAGCAGGGCCTGGGCAGCAGAGCCCTGGCCCTGGGACCCATCCAACAAAACGGCCATTCCAGATGCCTGGCCCTGCCTGGCTTTGACTTCTCATCTACTCCACACTCTAGCCTGGATCTGGATGGGGCAGGCTGCCCTGCTTCCAGGTAAGGACTATGCCACCCATGCAGCCAAAGGCCACTCCTGGGAATACCAGTACCTGAGCAAGAGACAGCCCCTGCAAGGCCCACACACCATAGGCTGGCTCAGAGAAGGCTGAGGATCCTTCTATTCTTCCTGAGCAAGGGTATAGGATCCCTCAGCAGGGCCAGCTTCTCACCAGGGTGCCAACATTACCCACAGCTGGGGGCTGGTGGGAGGGTGCTGTGCAATGCTGGGAGCTTGACCCAGGCCTCAGCCTTGAGCAAATATGTCCAAGGCCACCAACTGGCCTAAGTTCTTTGGGCATGGCCTCTGTCTCATACCTTTTGATCTCACCAGGCGAGAACTCCAGGGTGGCCTGCGCGGGAATGCCAGGGTCCCTCAGCTGGCACACAGTACCCATGCCAGTGCCAAAGGTTATCCAGCAGCAACCACAACAGAGGAGGCCACCTATCACCTCAGGCAGCCCTGGTCTCTGTTTTGCTTCCTTTTCTCTTTACAGATGAGGGTGAGACTAATGGGGGTGGGGTGGGATGGGTATTAACCCTTGAGTTGCTCTACATAGTTTGGCCAGAACCTAGGAATTTGGGAAGCGCTTTTTTCCTGCTTTCTTCCTGTGGCCCTGGCCTTTGCAGATTTGGGCCTCTCAGCCTCCCCCTTTCCCTTCTTCAGACACTCCATATTCAGGGTGGCCACAACACTGGTCTGGTTGCCACTGAGACCACAGCACAGAAAAAGGGGCCTCCTCTGCTCCCAATGTCATTGCCCATGAGCCATTTCTATGGAGAGAAAAGTTTGAGAATCCTCTTTGGAAAGCCTGAAGCGTGGCACCGAGCAAAGCTATCCAAGCAAAGGTATGACCCTTGTTCTCACTCTCCTGACTCTGCCTTCATCCCACTCCATCCCTGCTCTCTAGTTACTGGAACACCCTTGGCCTCCAGGCCAGTGCACTTGGTCCCTTGGTGGCAGGGCTGCCTGCTTGCCTGAGTTTCCCACGTGGGAAGATGAAGCAAGACCTCCCCAAGCTTTTGGAATAAGTAAGGACAGCAGCAGGACCATCTGGAACCCTGGACAGGGGGTGAGTTTCAGAAGGGGGTGGCAGACCCTGCTCAGAACCCAGTGGCTACCTTTCTCCTCTCATTGGAGCTCACTGAGCTTCTCTCTGAGGTACTGTAAATGTTAAACAAATTCAGACTCTGTTAGGTTGGACAGCATTAAAGTCCCCTGGATAGATGCTACAAACGTAGCAAGGGACAGATAATAAGAGTAATACCACCATTTACTGTTCACTTAATGTGTGTACATGCATGAATTTTATTATATAGTCCTTTAAAATTAATTAGTCATTTAATCCCATTTAATTGTCTAATCCTTATAACTCTCTAAAAGATATGTGCCATTGTTATCCCCATTTTGTAGCTTATGAAACAAGGCTTAGAAAAATGAAGTCACTTGCCCAAGGTCACAAGATACAGCTAGTTGGGATTAAAATTGAGACCTGTCTGCTTCTAGGGTTCATACCTTCCATCTCCCCTGTATACCATACTTCTAAGCCCCTGAGCTGAGAGAAGGAGGAGCATTGAAGGAAAAGAGTGGGTGCCATGCTGGTCTCTACCCTCACTCAATTTCATTCTGTTTTCACACAAATATCTGCCGGGCCTTAGAGGTGACGACCTGAGGGTGGAGCAGTAAGGCCTCCAGATGTCAGGGCAAGGAAGTGGCAGCTCACCTGCTGTCAGGTTCCATATTTCTGATAGCTAATAGCCCCAGACACCTGGGTTATCTGCCTCTATTCCCCATCTTGGGCCTAGGTAGTAATTCCAGGGATGTAGACCCCTGGAACCTGGCAGGAAGCCAGCATAAGACCAAGGACAGACCATAAAGCCAGAGGTGCCCTCTAAGTCCAGAACCAAACACAACCACTCATTTGTTCCAGGAGCTTCCCCTACACAACACAGCCATAAGTCCCAGGGTACCTAAGGCTTCTGCATTGTGGAGAGGGGTGGCCATAGGGAGGGAGTGGGGTGGGATGAGGGATACGGAATGGCTGCAAATAGAATGCCAAGCCAGCCAGAGGCCAGAGCTGCCCTCCTGCCTCCAGACGCAATCACAGACCTTCAGGAAAGAATGTAGCCCCTTGTTGAATGTGGACAGGGGGAGGGAAAGGGCTCGTTATGTCCTTATAGCCACTCTAACTTAGAAGGTGCTGTTATTATCCATTTTGCAGAAAAGGAAGCTTGGGTCAATGGTTCTTAGCTGGCACGTGGGCCCATGCTTAACTCATCTCCTGTACCACCTCCCTCAGCCCTTATCAAGTTATGACAAGGAGCCTGAGCGTGGGTAGAAGAGGAAGGGGACCTAAAATCCAGGGCTTAGAGAGGAGAGAGGCAGTCTCAGCTGTGGGAACAGCACTTGCGAACAGGAAGTCTCCCCACTCCATCCGCAGGTAAACAGTGTAATCACCACTCATTGGTCCACTCCATTTGAGCATCTGCCCCACGCAGATCTTATGTATCAAGACTCAGAGATAATACAGTTTCTATCCTTAGGCAGCTGCAGTGATGAGAGAGGACAGACACTTTGCAAAGCAAGTACTCTGGAGGCAGCATAATGCTCACCAGATACAGGAGCACTAGGGAACTTGGAGAGGGCATCAGAGGGGCAGCCAACCCAGCTTGAGTTGAGGAGGGGTCAGCAAAGCTCCCTGGAGGAGTCTGAAAGACAGAATAGAAATAAGTGAGGCAAGAGGGATGACAGGTGTAGGGGAGGGTTTTCAGGTGGAGGGGACAAATGAACAAGGCCATGGGAAGCCTATGGGTGTGAGGGCTGCTGAGAAAGGTGGGCATGGTAGGCAGAGGAAAGAGGGGAGTCATGTGGGTGGGCAGGCCAGAAATCACAAGCCTTCAAGGCAGGAGGAACCTGGGACAGCCAGACCCTCGGACAGTCTCCCTAGGCCAGCATGGCCACATCACCATGAACTGGACTGGGTACATTCCAGCCTAATCGCAGCTCAGATCAGCCAGCTCCGGAGGCAGCTGTGTGGACATTGGGGCCGACCTCCACCCAGGGTGCCTGCCACGGCCTGGGTGGAGGTCGCCCCAAAGTGTGGTGGGGCAGCAGTCAGGGCATCCAGGTCCTCAAGGATTTTCCAGACCTTTGTCTGGAGACCCAGAGTTTTTTCCTCTCCAGCTTCTGAGCAACTGGGTGGGGCAGAGGTGTGGCTCCACCTGTGGGAGGAGCTGAAAAGATCCTGCCTCAGGACCAGGACTTTGGTGATCCTAGTTCTCAAGGGCCCCCTGCTCAGGCTGCTATTATCCAAAAGGGCCAAGGGTCAGGATTGACCCACAGCTGGGGCCCAAGTCTACACCATGGCCTCTACCAGGTCCAGCCACAGCCTGCGTCCCACAGAGCAGGAGGACACAGGCCAGGATATGGGAGCAACAGCCCCCAGTGCAGAAATGAGTGGTCAGGTGGCCAGTGGGACCGCCGACTCTGTTGTCATGTAATAGTTTTTATTTATTAAACTTCTTTTCTTATTTATTTAATAAAACTTTTATTTTTTTAATTAAAGCTTCCATTCTTCTATTATGCAGAGAGCAGCTTTTTTCCTAAGGCAGTGGCAGAGCATGGGGACAGATGTCTTAAATACACAACCCAATGTCACCAATTTCAACTTTACATTAAAAAGACAGCAGAAGCCCCTTCCTCATTATACACTGGAGCGCATCCTCCATCTCCTCACCCCTCCCCCAACCCCCTCCCTCCTCCCCTTTCTTTCCTTGGCATAAGAAAGCAGGTCTCTGGCATTGGCAAAGAGAAAAGTTAAAGGCAGAGAAGCAGTGAAAGGAAAGGAGGAGGAATCAGGCAGCCTCTAGCTAAAGGGTCCCCATCCCACCTCACAGGCTAGCCAGGACACCTTGCATTCCGGTAAGATGGGGGTGGGGTGCTGGGAATGAGGTAGGTGATGGTGACTCCGCCTTGCAAGACGTCTGCTCTTCTTGTATCAGGCCCAAGGACCTGGTGTCTTTATCAGCAGGACCAGGCAGGGAGGAAGGCTCCCCAGCAGACCTGGCTGATCGTCCCCTGGAGGCCAGCCAAAGTGTGCGTGGCCATGGCTCAGAGCCCTCATCAGTAACAGCACCAGCGGCCCCTGTGGCGGTGAGGGAGATCATTTATCTAGTGTTTGCTATGTGTCTGACCCTAGGCTTAAGTGTTTTTCATTCATTATCTTTTTTAATCCAAACAAAGTTCAGGAGAGTTTATTAATTCCATTTAACAAATGAGGCAACTGAGGCTCAGAAAATTTAAGTGACCTCCCAAGTTTACACAGTTTACATGTGGCAGAGTCGGGATTCAAACTTGGTCTGACTGACTCCAGAGCCTGCCAGAGGGTGGGGAAAGCAGGGCTGACACTGCCTCTCCCTGACCATGCCAGCTCACCCTCAAACCTGAGGCCTTTAGGGAAGTCCCTTTTACACTCTGCAGCCTGTCTGACCTCTTCTTCTTTTTTTAAATTGCATTTTAGATTTTGGGGTACATGTGCAGAACATGCAAGATAGTTGCATAGGTACACATGTGACAGTGATTTGCTGCCTTCCTCCCCTTCACCCACATCTGGCATTTCTCCCCATGCTATCCCTCCCCAACTCCCCCCGCCCCTTCCTTCTTAAGCTCTGGTCTGCAGCTCATCCTTCCAGAGCTGGAGAGGAGGGAGGACAGGCTCAGGAAGGTTCTACTTTTCCCTACCCTCACACCACTCCCCCACTTCCACCTGCCTCATAGCTGTTTAATTCCATTGTCTCAAAAATGAGAGCTGCTTGGGTTTTCCTGGGGAGGGAGCAGAGAGCAGGGCCAGAGCGCCTGGCACGTGGGAAGGGGCCTGAGCCGAGCTTGGCACACTGACCAGGCAGGGCCTGGCTAGCATCGTCGTCCCACACGTCAGAGTAGCCACGGTCGCTTTGTTAGCTGGAATTACTGCATTCAGGAGGGAGGAGGAGAGAAAAGAGGGGTCCCAGGATGAGGTGGAAAAGGGAAGAGGTGCCACAAACTCCTAGGGGTGAGAATGAGCAGAGATTTGTGGCTCAGGCTGGCAAGAAAGACTTGCCAGGGCTCCATGAGTGGCCTCAGCCCTGGGACTCAGTTGCCCCCTGCCCCCACTGGTTTTCTCTTCCTCCCACCTCCTGCTCTGACTCCCTCATGGCTAGAGCAACTGGGTCCAGTGGGAGCCCTGCCTGACTCCCACATTTAGAAAAAGATGTGTACTCCACCCTCAGCCCCAGAAAGATTTACACCCATCTTTTGTATCCATGAAAATATGATTCAACAGGACCTTAGCTTCTTCCCAGGCAGCCACTGATCTGCTCCCTCCTTCATCTCCTAAGAGCACAGGCTTTGGAGTCAAAGAAACTTGGCTTCAAATCCTGATTCCTCTGCTTTTTAACTGTGGGACTCTAAGCAAGTTAGTTTGCCTCTCTGGGTCTTGGGTTCCCAAACTGGCAGAATCCTGTGTTAAAGGAGCGAATAAAAGAATATATAATAGCACTAATGTTTGTTTAGTGCCCGTTATGTGGCAGGACACTTCCTGTATTATCTCACTAAGTCCCCCTAAACATTCGATGAGGTTGGTGTTATTATTATTGCTCCCATTTTATAGGCAAGAAAACTGAGGCTTAGGTGAAGAAATTTGCCAAGGCTGGCAAGCCTTAGAGCTGGGATAAGTGACCAGCACCCAGATAACATAGGTCATGCTCTCAGCTCCCCTAATGTGCTGACGGCTGGTGCCTCTGGTCGCCTGGAACCACAGGCTTGCTCCCTAGCCCACCCAGAATGCTGACCCAGGGAGTTGTGCCAGGATCCCTTCATCCCATGTCTTTTAGAACACGTGGCAATTTCTCCTGGTCACCTCCCTAAGACTGGTCCTCTTTCCCCAGAGCTGGGGCCAGGGTTAGGGCTGGGACTTGACATTGTATGGGTATGTGTCCAGGTAACATAAGTGGGGGTAGTAGACCCCAGGAGGAGCCTATGTACTTGGGGTGTGTTTGTTTTTAATCTTCTCTAATCTGACCACTTGACTGGGCCAGGAAGAGCCTGAGGATCCACTGGGTCATCACAGCCTTCCCAAGGGGTGGTTGCTTTAAGGGAGGGATTTTCTTGAATAGCTTCTCTTCCTCCTTCTTCAGCTCCTGGTCCACGGTCCACAAGTCACTAGCTCGGGGAATGTCCTAGACCAAGCCCTGGCCCCTATCACAGTTAAAATAAATGCACTTTTTCCCATGTTGCTTTGATCACCATCTCCCCTCATGCCCCAACCCCATGTGCTTCTTGTGAACAGGAACAAGATGATGCTGTTCACCACCATTCCCAGGCCCTGGTACAGCACCTGACATATGCGTGTTAAACAAATGAATGAACTAATGGGCTTGCCTGGGCCCACAGTGTCCCAGGAAGGCTGAGAGGCAGCAGGAGGATATCCTCAGCGGTGATTGCAGCAGAGGCAGATCTGACCTCTGTCACCAGGAGAGAGGAACAGGCCCTACCAGCCTCAGCTTCCAGGACCAGTTCATAAGAGAAATCAAACTGGAGAACTGCCAAGGGGCAGGTACCAATGGAATGTCCTCTCAACCCCAGACCCCTCACCTCAGCTGGCACCTACCTGGAGCATTTGGGCAACAGCCTCAGTGAAGGCTTTTTCTGTAACAGCAGCAGCAGCAGCAGCAATAATAGTAATGATGAATATTCCCAGAGTGCGTACTGGGTCCCTGGCCCTGAGCTAAGCACCTGTCATGCATTCTCTCTCAGAACCCTCACAATGGCTTTAGAAGATAAATGCCATGTTCATCCCCATTTTGCAGATGATAAGACAAGCTCAGAAAGGTTGATGCGTGCAAAGTTGCCCAGCACATGAGAGGACAATGAGATCATGAAGCCAGGTGACCAGAGCCTGGCAAGAAAACTGAGGCTTAGGTGAAGAAATTTGCCAAGGCTGGCAAGCCTTAGAGCTGGGATAAGTGACCAGCACCCAGATAACATAGGTCATGCTCTCAGCTCCCCTAATGTGCTGATGGCTGGTGCCTCTGGTCGCCCGGAACCACGGGCTTGCTCCCTAGCCCACCCAGAATGCTGACCCAGGGAGTTGTGCCAGGATCCCTTCATCCCATGTCTTTTAGAACACGTGGCAATTTCTCCTGGTCACCTCCCTAAGACTCTTTCCCCAGAGCTGGGGTCAGGGTTAGGGGTTAAGACCAGATGTCTTAACCCCAAATCTTTTCTGTCTCTGGGGCATGCCTCTCTAATGTGATAATCTGGGCCAGGTGCAGCCTGCTAAGTGGGCCTAACCTGAATTCACACATGCTGAATTCTCAGGGACCAGAAGCCCACCTCCACCTCCATTGCTCAATAGGGCACTCATGAATTTATCACGTTGACAGATACTTACTGCACACCTACTATGTGCTAGACACTGTACTAGACACCAAGAACAAATTGATGAACAAAACTAAACCCAGTTCCTGCTCTCACAGAGAGTATATTCTAGTGGGAAATAATCAAACCAATGTGTCCAATTACAAACAGATACATGCAAAGAAGGAAAACTAGAGCCAGCTCTGAGGCAGAGCAACAGGGAAGGCATAATTTAGACTGAGGGGCCAGGGAAGTCCTTTTGGAGGTGACATTTATACACTAACACAACCGATCAATCAGCCAATTGATTAATCCAAGCTAGAGAGGCGGCAGGGTTCCACCCGCTGTGAGTTGTGGAGTGAAGAGGTTTCCCCTTGGTTTTCCCCCCAGATCAAGGGGAAAAAAAGGGCTGCAGTCCACGGCCATTTTGCCGTTTGCTAAGGGAAGCGTCCCTGAGATTCCAGATTCCTGTGACCTCAGAGTAAAGGGTAAGGGAAAGTATAATCTGACTTGGTTTTTTGTTTCTCTTGGATAAAACAGGAAGGGCAGTGTTCCCCCACGCCCAGATCAGTGATTGAGCCGCCAGCCCCGGGCCTCCCTCCCCGCACTCATAAATGTGGTGCTCTGTCGCCACCTGGTGGATGTAATAGACGATGCTGGGACGGCCCAGCCTTCCGCGTCTGGGGTAGGATCCAGAAAGCGGCTTCCTTCAGGCGGAGGCTAATAAGGAGGCAATAGGTTTGGGTAAGTTCCTGGCAGGGGGCGGGGATGGGAGAAGGAGCGAGGGTGGATGGGGGACTGCTGCTTGAAAGTCAACTGACTGGAGAACCACAATGGCCCCATTGTGTCCGGAGCCTTGACCTTGATTTCCTGCCACTCTCATCTCCGGAGTGGCATCACCCGGGTCTGATTGGCCGGGAGTCCACTCCGTGACAATGGGCGGGCCCCGGACTGGACACCCGGCCTTGGGCTCCACCAAGGCCGGGACGCCTGGCTAGCCCAGTCCCCCAGGAGACCCAGGGAAGGGGGATGGGGCAAGGGGCCAACGCCTCTCAGAAGTCGTTTCCTCCTTCCTCTCTACCATCCAAGCGTAGGGGCAGGCCGGGCACGGGGTCTCATGCCTGTAATCCCAATACTTTGGGAGGCCTAGGCGGACGAATCACTTGAGGGCAGGAGTTGCAGACAGGACTGGTCAACATGGTGAAACCCTCTCTAATAATGAAAAAAAAAAAAAATAGCCGGGCATTGTGGCACATGTGTGTATTCCCAGCAACTTGGGAGGCTGAGGCAGGAGAATCGCTAGAACCCGGGATGGGGAGGCTGCAGTGAGCTGAGATCGCAACACTGCACTCCAGCTTGGGCGACAGAGCGAGACTCCGTCTCAAAAAAAAAAAAAAAAAAAGTGGGCCAGGTACAAGGCTCCCTTTGAAAGGCTGTGGAGCGTATTGGTCAAGGCCTGGGATCTGTAGTGTGTGAAGTGTGGCCCCAAATTAGTTCTGGGCTCCTTGGACACAGTTTTTAACATCACTCACTTTTTAAAAGAAATGTCACAGGCATGGTTACACATTCCCACTGTAAAAAAACAAAAATGCACAATACAATGAAAAGCTGAAGCTCCCCACCTTGATCATACTCACCCTTCCTCAGGTACCTAACTACGTTGTTAATTTAATGTGTCAGTGTGTACACTGACCTCATTCAATGTATTTATATGCAAGTGTATACAAATGAAAATGTCTAATTTGTTGTTACTCTGTGGGCCTTGGTTTTCTAATCCGAAAATTGGGATGACAAATATAGTAGTTAAACTGTACAGTTCCTGAAAAGGTTGCCTGAGATAATTTGTGTGGCGTGTTTAGCACTGCTCTTGGCACACAGTGTCTGCTATTATTGTTGTCATCATCACCATCTTCGTCATCATTAACATTGGGCCCCAGACCTAATTCTGAGGTCTGGTTAGACATCCTTCACAACCTCTACTCCCCTTCTCCCTCCTCCTTCCTAACAGACTGATAAAAACCTGTGTTCCCTAATGCCTGTGTTTTTTGAAGAAGCTATGAAAGGAATCTGGTGTTTTCTGCATGCTCTCCCCTTCCCTCCAGGTCCCTAACTCCATCCCCACCTTTTCCCTCCCATATTTGACCTAGATGCAACCACTCACCCCACTAAGGGGAGAGAGAACCTTCCCATTCTCAGCCAGGAAAAGCTGTCTGTGGCTTAAATGGTGCTGCTGGACCCACAGTGACACTACATAAAGGCTGTCCCTAGGTAGGAGTAGAGCTAGTGGCTGAAGGGGAGGAGGAGGGCTCTAAAAGAGGCCACCTGTGGACAGGTAAGCATCAGAGCACCCTAGGGTGCAGCCAAGGGCAAATCATCCCACCTTTCTGAGCCTCAGCTTCCTCACCTATACAATGGGGCTACTAAAAATAGCTACTGCATTCAATTGCTATGAGGATGGCATAGTGCCTGAGGAGGGACCTGGCATTGAGAAAGCCCCTAATAAATAGTTATTATTATGTTCTAAAGCAAAGTGTCATGTTTATTTAGCATTTTAAGTTTGCAAAGGAAATTACCAACATCCTTCTTTTTTCAAAAACAAAAAAAGAGCTAGTCTTTGCACCATGGGGAAGAAAGTTTGGTTTTCATGTATAAGTCTCAGAAGAAAGGTCTTTACGTGGGCCTCTGTGGAAGCATCCAGATGCCACTTCCTAGAGCTGTTGCTGGTTCCTCTGTATTGTCTGTGTTTTGCCATATTTTAAAATTATTATATGTGTAGGCATATATTTGCTGAACGATTTGCAGGTAAGTTGTAGACACTTTGACACTTTACCTCTAAAACTTTAACATATACCACCTAAAAATGTGTGGACATGTGATAAGCATATGTCATCTAATGCCTATCCATTTGCAAACTTCCCCAGTGTGAAAAAGGCCTCCTATAGTTTTTTACCTGTTATATTTCTGAACTTTTGATTTTGAAATAATTGTACATTCATAGGAAGTTACAAAAATAATAGTCTCCTGTATCCTCCCAGTGTCCCCCAATAGTGACATCTTATTACTTAAAAGTAATTTTAGTTTTTGCCATTGAAGGTAATGGTAAAAACCGCAATTACTTTTGCACCAACCTAATATATAGCTGCAGTACAACATCAAAACCAGGAAACTGACATTGTTGGTGCATTATTATCAACTAGACTACAGACACTGTTTTGTTTTCACCTGCATTCATTTACGCATGTGGGTGTGTGTATATCTGTGCTGTTCTATCCCATGTGTAGATTCATGTAACTACCACAACCAAAATAGATAGCTGTTACATCACCACAGAACTTGCTAGTGACAGCTCTTTGCATTTACATCCACTCTCACTTCATTCCTCCTTGTCCTTCTTTCTATCCCCTGGCAACCATGAATGTGTTTTCCATCTCTGTACTTTTGTCATTTTGAGATTGTTATATACAGGAAATCCCATAGTATCTAACATTTTTTATATTGAATTTTTCCACCAAGCATAACGCCTTCAAGGTCCCTTAAAGTTGTGACACACATTACCAATAGTTCATTCCTTTTTATATGGCTGTACCACCATTTATACAGTGTACATTTACCGGTTGAAAGACATTTGAATTGTTTCCAGGTGTTGACATTATAAATAAAGTCACTATAACATTTGTGTACAGGTTTTTCTGTGAACAGAAGTGTCATTTCACTGTGGGAAAATACCTACATGTGGGATTGCTGAGTTTTATGGTAAGGGTATATTTATGAGAAACAGCCAAATTCTTGTAAACTGACTACAAATTTTGCATTCCCACCAGCAATGTGAGAGTTGCAGTTTCCCTGCATCCCTGCCAGCACTGGATATTACCACTTCTTTTGTTTTTGTTTTTTAGGTTTTTAGCCCTGCCCCCCATAGGTTTGTAATGGTACCCCACTTTTTTTGGTGGAGTTTCACTCTGTTGCACAGGCTGGAGTGCAGTGGTACAATCTTGGCTCACTGCAACCTCCACCTCCTGCGTTCAAGTGATTCTCCTACCTCAGCCTCTTGAATAGCTGGGACTACAGGTGTGTGCCACCACGCATGGCTAATTTTTGTATTTTTAGTAGACTGGGTTTTACCATGTTGCATTTTGGCCAGGCCAGTCTCACCCACATGACTTTTAAAACATAAATAAGACCAAGTCATAAATCTCCTTTTTTTTGAAACAGGGTTTTGCTCTCTTGCCCAGGCTGGAGTGCAGTCGTGTGATCACAGCTCACTGCAGCCTTGACCTCCTGGGCTCAAGTGATTCTCCCACCTCAGCCTCTCAGCCTCACAAGTAGCTGGGACTACAGGTGCACACTGTCACACCCAGCTAATTTTGGGGTTTTGGGGTTGTATTTTTTTAGAGATGGGGTTTCTCCATGCTGCCCAGGTGTGTCTCAAACTCCTTACCTCAAGCAATTTGCCTACCTCAGCCTCCCAAAGTGCTGGGACTATAGGCATGAACCACTGTGCCCTACCCATAACCTTTCTTAAAAACTTCTAGTGGCTTCCCATCACCCTCAGAATAAAATTCAAACTCAGAAGGCCTGCCAGACCATCTCTTCTGATCTCTTATGCCTCTGCCCCTTACTCCACTCCAGCCACAGTGACTTCCTTGTTTTTCTAATACCCTAAGCTTGTTCCTCCCTCAGCCTTTCACCTGCAGTTCCCTCTGCCCAGAATATTCTTGCCCTGGGTATCCACATGGCTCAGTTCCTCATTTCATTATCTGTCTATTGAGAAATAAATAGCTCCTCAGAGGCCTTCCCTGGTGGTCAAAATGAGCCCCCGTCCCTGCACTCACCCTCGCTTCACGTATCCTGTTTTATTTTCTTCATAGCACTTATCTCTCCTTGATATGATGTTATATCAATTGTTGATTTGTGTCCTGTCTGTCTCCCCATGAGGACAGGGCTTGGCTTGTTGATGATTAGCTCCAGTGCTTAACACAGTGCTTGGCAAACAGAAGGCAATAATAAATACTTGTGGAATGAATGTGTATGGGAAACCTCTTGTGACCCTCCTGTCATCCTTTCAGCCCACCTTTTACTCGGCCGTCACTGTGGCAACAGCTTGGAGAAGGTGAAAGCAGTGACACTCAGCTGCTCCACAGGGCCCTGATCTTGCCTTCTGCCAGGGCTCCTCTCTGGACTTGAATGCTGCAACCTGGACATCTGAGGATGTTAACCCTTTGGGGGTAACACCAGGCCCTTGGTGGCTGGAGTTGGTGGATATAGGCTTTTTTCTCTGACACTCAGTGGACAACTAGGAGGTGCACACTATGCTGCTCCTCATCACATCCCAGCCGAGTCAAGTCCCAGCTGCCCACAGTGGAGACCAGCTCTATGACACACCATGGCACTGGCTTACCTTCATTCCTACTTCATTCTCCCCAGTCCCCTACTCCTGCTCCCTGGGATCATGTCCTGAATTAACTTGCAAACATGCTCTTTCTCTGCTTTCTCTACCTGTAAGAAGGTAGAAGGGCTAGAGAAGAGTCCAGGTTAAATTAGAACAAATATATGAAACTTACAGACTAGCATGAGAAACTAATACAAATAAAACAAAATTTAAGTAACTACAGGTAAAGTGGTGGACTTTTCAACAAATGGTATTAGAATAATTGAATATCCATATGGAATGCAATGTATCTCAATCCCTACTTCATACCATACTCAAAATAAATCAAAGAACTAATTTTTAAAAAACTGCTGGCACGGTGGTTCACGCCTGTTATCCCAGCACTTTGCAAGGCCAAGGCATGCAGATCACCTGAGGTCGGGAGTCCGAGACCAGCCTGACCAACATGGAGAAACCCCCATCTCTACTAAAAATACAAAATTAGCCAGGTGTGGTGACACATTCCTGTAATCCCAGCTACTCAGGAGACTGAGGCAGGTGAATCACTTGAACCTGGGAGGCAGAGGTTGCGGTGAGCCAAGATCATGCCATTGCACTCCAGCCCAGGTAACAAGAGTGAAACTCTGTCTCAAAAAAAAAAAAAAAGCCTATAAAACTTCTGGAAGAAAGAAGAAATTCTTCATGACCATGGGGTAGGCAGAGATCATAGAAAGAACTTACTATAAAAGGGGGAAAAAGATAGCACTTAAAAGATAACTAGAAGAAGGTTTTGTAATACATATTTTTGATAAAAGATTTCTATCTGGAACATATAAAGAAATTTTTTTTGGTTGGGGGGGAATTGAGTTTCCCTCTTGTTACCCAGGCAGAGTGCCAAGGCACGGTCTGGGCTCACTGCAACCTCCACCTCCCAGGTTCAAGCAATTCTTCTGCCTCAACCTCCCTAGTAGTTGGGATTACAGATACCCACAACCATGCCTGGCTAATTTTTTTTTTTTTTTTTTTTTAAGACAGAGTCTCAAACTGTTACCCTGGCTGGACTGCAGTGGCATAGTCTCGGCTCACTGTAATCTCTGCCTCCCAGGTTCAAGTGATTCTCCTTGCCTCAGCCTCCCAAGTAGCCGGGATCACAGGCACCCACCACCACACCCAGCTAATTTTTTTTTTTTTTTTAATTTTTAGTAGAGACAGGGTTTCACTTTGTTGGCCAGACTGGTCTCAAACTCCTGACCTCATGATCCGCTCACTTCAGCCTCCCAAAGTACTGGTATTACAGGTGTGAGCCATTGCACCCAGCCTAATTTTATATTTTTAGTAGAGACGGGATTTCTCCATGTTGGTCAGGCTGGTCTTGAACTCCTGACCTCAGGTGATCTGCCCACCTCAGTCTCCCAAAGTACTGGAATTACAGGCGTGAGCCACTGCACCCAGCCTAAAGAAATCTTAAAACTCAATAATAAGACCCCAACCAAAATAAAATATGGGCCGAAAAATTTAACAAATACCTCAAAAAGAAGATATACAAACATCTAATAAACACACAAAAAGTTGCTCAACATTATTAGAGAAATGTAAATTAAAATCACAATGAGATAACATCACACACTAATTAGCATGGCTAAACTTTTCTTTCCCCCCCGCTCTGTCCCCCAGGTGAAGTGCAATGGCATGATCTCGGCTCACTGCAACCTCTGCCTCTCGGGTTCAAGCAATTCTCCTGCCTCAGCCTCCTGGGTAGCTGGGATTACAGGTGCCCACCACCACGCACAGCTAATTTTTTGTATTTTTAGTAGAGATGCGGTTTCACCATGTTGGCTAGGCTGGTCTTGAACTCCTGACCTCAGGTGATCCGCCCGCCTTGGCCTCCCAAAGTGCTAGAATTACAGGCAGAAGCCACTGTGCCCGGCAGAATGGCTAAACTTTAAGAGATTAGTAATAACAAGTATTGGTGATGATATGGAACAATTGGAACTCTCATACATTGCTGGCAGGAGTGTGAACTGGAACAATTACTTGGAAAAAAGTTTGGTGGTATCTTATAAAGTTAAAAATACACTTACCAGTGCCCAGCAATCTCCATTATAGGTATGGTTTGGATGTGATTTGTCTGTGCCAATACTCATGTTCAAGTTTGCTTGCCAGTTTTGTGCACTGGGGAGGTAGGACCTAGTGGGAGGTGCTTGGATCATAGGGGTGAATCCCTTATGAATAGGTTGGTGTTGTTGTCCTAGTAATGAGTGGGTTTGTGGTTGTTACTGTTGTTGTTCTCAAGAGACTGGATCAATTCTCAAGGAATGTATTAGTTCCCGAGCAAGGAGTTGTAATAAAGTGAAGTGTCTCCTCCTGTTTAATCTCTTTGCATACGTCTGCTTCCCCTTTAACCTTTTCTGTCATGTTTTGACCCAGCACAAAAGCCCTCGCTAGAAGCCACGCGGATGCCGCCACCATTTGAACTTCCCAGTCCACAGAACTGTGAGCTCTACCTCTTTATAAATTACCTATCTCAAGTATTCTGTTACAACAACGCCAAATGAACTAAGGCAAGTATTTATCCAAAGGAAATAAAAATGTATGTCTGCACAAAGATTAGTACATGAAAATGTTGGAGCAGCTTTATTCATAATAGCCAAAAAGTGGAAATAGCCCAAGTGTCCATCAACAAGTAAACAGATAAATTGTGGCATATTCATACAATGGCTTACTACTTGGTAGTAAAAAAGAACAGCCGGGCACGGTGGCTCACGCCTGTAATCCCAGCACTTTGAGAGGCTGAGGTGGGCAGATCACCAGGTCAGGAGATCGAGACCCCACCCTGGCCAACATGGTGAAACCCTGTCTCTACTAAAAATACAAAAATTAGCTGGGTGTGGTATTGCGTGCCTGTAATCCCAGCTACTCAAGAGGCTGAGGCAGAATTGCTTGAACCAGGGAATCAGAGGTTGCAGTGAGCTGAGATTGTGCCACTGCACTCCAGGCTGGTGACAGAGCAAGACTCCATCTAAAGAAAAAAAAAAGAACAAAGTAGTGATAAGTGCTACAACATGAATAAACCTCAAAAACTTTATATTGAGTGAAAGACGCCAGATAGAAGCATACATAGCATATTATTACATTTAAATGAAGTTCTAGAACAAACAAAACTATTTTTGATTGGCTGGCCTTGAAAAGGTGACATTTGAGCAAGATCTGGATGTCAAGAGGGAGCTAGCCATGGAAAGATCGAGGGAGAGGCATTCCAGGCAAAGGGCACTACAGGAACAAAGGCCCAGGATCAGGAAAGAGCTTGGTGAGCTTGGGAACAGTCAGCAGGCAGCAGTGACTGAGTGAAGTGGGTGGGGCAGAGAATGGTGGAGACAGGGTGGAGAGGTGTATGGGAGCCAGATCATGCCGAGCCTTATCAGCCCTGATAAAGTTTTAGAATTTGATATGAATAAAATGCAAATCCCTTATAGTTTTGTGGGGCAGAAACACATAAGCAAATAAAGGCAATTCAGGGTCATGGGTGATACGCTTGGGGAGTGTACAGGGAAAGAGGAGTAGTGCACAGTTTTACCTAGGGACACCTGAGAAGGCTTCCCAGAGGAGGTAACATTTCAGCTGAGACTGGAAGAGTAGCAGAGGGGAAGGGTCATTCTGGTGGAGGGTACTGTGCCTGTAGAAGCCCAGACACATGCAGCCTCATGGAACATTCAGAGACCTCAGCATAATATAAGCCTAGTTGGAGTTTTCCCAACTAGGAGAGGGAGTGGCAGGAGATCTGAGGCTTAAGAGAGAGGCTTTGAATGCTTTGTCAGACATGATCCTGCAGGGCATGGGAAACCCCTGCAGAATTTAAAGTCAGGAAGTAAGGAAGTATCAGGGCAGGCCAACACTTCAGATCAAGACCTCCAGACTGGCAGGCAAAAAGCAAGGCCACTGGTTCTGGTGTGAGATAATGGGGGACTGGGCCTGGGACTAAGCAGCGATGGGCGGGGCAGGGAGTAGAGCCAAACTGCTAAACAGTGACTGGGACTGTCCTGGTTGAGGCAAAGCTCTCCAAAGCTTGTGGCCCCAGAGGGCCATAAATGCTAACTTTCATGTGCATCTGCTCCCTTGGCAGGCTTGTCACACCTGAAGACTCCTAGGCCCTGGCTCCCAGGGTTTCAGAAGGAGTGGGTCTAGGATGAAGCCCAGGAATCTGCATACACAAAAAGTGACACTTTCTCTACTCTGATGCAGGTGCACTCCACACTTTCCAGGTTGCCAGTGTGGCTGGGGAAGAGGCAGGACAAGCACACTCCATCTGGTCTGTGTCTGAAGCAGCTCAGAGAATCAGACAAAGGTGGCATCTAAAATAAGGACCTGGATGCAATGGGAGCAAAGATAATATGTGTCTCCACTGCCACAGCTGAAGAACTATGGTAGAGTGGCCCTGGTCATCATGCAGAAAAATGATTCCTGATCACCAGTCCAAGGAACCACAGAAAGAAGAGATGGGGCCACAACTGGAACATAGATCTGAGGTCTGCCTTTTAATTTGTACCTTCTCCTAGGGTACAGACAGGGAGGCAGGAAGGGGATTACTGGGGGCTGCAGTAAACTAAAGAACAAGCTCTGGGAAAAGGAAGCCTCTCTTACTATGCAGCATCTCACCTAATTAACCCTCACAACAGCTGTATGTGGTTGGTCCTATTATTATTCCCATTTTATAGATGGGGAAACTGCTCTCTATGTGGTTGGTCCTATTATTATTCCCATTTTATAGATGGGGAAACTGAGACTCAAAAATGTTGAGTAAGTAGTGCTGGGTCCCAAGATGAGGACAAAGGGGAACCATGGCTGGAACACAGGCCTTTGGACACTCCGAATCATAGCATTGCCCTGTGATGCCTTGTTTTGAGCCAGCACAAAAGCCCTCGCTAGAAGCCAAATGGATGCCGCCACCATTTGAACTTCCCAGTCTGCAGAACTGTGAGCTCTACCTCTTTATAAATTACCTATCTCAAGTATTCTGTTACAACAACACCAAATGGACTAAGGCAAGTATTTATCCAAAGGAAATAAAAATGTATGTTTGCTTCCCCTTCAGTAGGAAAAGTCACTTCATCTCTTAACCTTAAATGATCTTCCAAGCAAGAGAAGGGGAGAGGGGGAGTATAAGTTTTTTTTGTCCCATCTTTTTCAGAAGGTATCTAAGTCCTTCCTATGTATGTCTTCTGAAGACACGGTACCAGGACCTAGAGAGGCTGAGATTTAGAGCCTCATGGTTCAAACTGAGTTGTAGGGTCCTAGCCAGGAGTATTGCTTGGATCTTCTAAGAATCTCACAACAGTGCCACATGCCTCAGCTTTACCCAAGCAACAGAAGGAGGTGGTGGAGGTGGTGGCGGCAGCAGCAGCAGCAGCAGCAGTGGCAGCAAATCTGTCCCCAGTGCACTACAGTACTGTTTTGCTATGATGAAATACACATGGCATATGGCTACAAAGTTACTATCTTGAGAGTGGATAGAAATGGGATTTTTCATGTGCCAGATTTCATTTCCCTTTCTGAAACAATTCCTGTAGTAAACAGAGGTTTTCTGATCTTGCTAAGATCAAGAAGATGGGAATTCCTTTACACTTTTAAAGTAAGACTATTGTCTTGTAGAGTTTCAGTCTGTTGATGGTGCAAATGTTTTTTTAACATTGATGCTATTCTGAGTTCCTCCCTCTTTCCTTCCAAAAGCCATGACAGGAAGAGGAGCTTCCAACACCTGATGACCAACTCCTTTCCAATTACAGACCACCCCAGTGATGAGACCTCCATATGTTGTCTGATGGCCACGGTTCCTTGGCAAATGGGTGGGAAAGAGGAAAGGTTTGTTGAGTGTGGGAGGCCACAGGGTGGAGGAGGCCAGGAAAGATCAGAAAGCACACACAATGTGACTTTCAGGAGGAGAATTATTTTGAACCATTTCTTGTGTGCTGACAGCATAATGATCATTATTAGGGTCTCAAATGTAACATGAAGCCCGCCCTGAAGTTAAATTTTCCTTTTCAGAGAAGTGTGGCCTGTCAGCCCACCATCAGATGGTTCCACGCGGACCTCCTCCATGGGTTGGGGGTTGAAGTGCCCCAGCTGCTGCCGCCCTGGTATCTTTCATTAAAGGCCTTTGCTTTTTTGGTAAATAAGGGCCCCATTTTTCTACCTTAGTCTTTGAAAATTAATCTGAGAAACACTTTGTGTAAGCATCATAGATGTATATACAGTTTTCTACCCACGTTTAGTTTCTGGTTTGTTTGTTTTTGTTTGTTTTTTGAGATAGAGTTCCCAGGCTGGAGTGCAGTGGCACAATCTTGGTTCATTACAACCTCTGCCTCCCAGGTTCAAGTGATTCTTCTGCCTCAGCCTCCCGAGTAGCTAGCATTACAGGCTTGCATCACCACGCCCAGCTAATTTTTGTATTTTCAGTAGAGACAGGGTTTCACCATGTTGGGCAGGCTGGTCTTGAATTCCTGACCTCAAATGATCCACTACCTTGGCCTCCCAAAGTGCTGGGATTACAGGCAAGCACCACTGCACTCAGCCGGCTAGTTTTAAGATGCCTATCTGAAATTCTACCTCCCCAGGCACCCTCCTGGTCACAGCATGAGCTCTAACAGACAGGCAGATCTGTGGCCTGAGTTATGCCCAGACAGATTTGGTTTGGCTTTCATAGTATTTTGAAATTGGTTTTCACGTCAATATCCTGTTTGCTGGCTTTTCTTGAAAAATCAGAAAGCTTGACCACATTGAGCTACATTCCTGAGTGTCAAGTGGCTGGATCTGAATGAGTAGTTTCTCCCTTTGCACAGAGCTTGTCATCTGATATACCACAGTCCCTACTACTCCCCGACATCTACACCCCACGAGAAAGTATGAGCTAAAAGGCAGATATAGATATAGGTGTTCCAGTCTTGACCCTACCACTAATTTCCTGTGAATGAGTTCAAGACACCTATTTGAACAGGTGTCTACATCTCTCTAAAGGCTGTTTTTAATCCTTAGGAAGAAGAGAATAATGAGATGATGTATGCAGAGCACTGGCAGAAAGCCTAGCATAGAGGAATCTGAAGATTCACCATGCATGCTTCCTGGTATATAGTACTAGTTCTTGTCAATGACACAGAGACTTGAAGACTGTATATAAATGGACACGCCTACTAGAATGCAAGCTTCATATAAACAAAGACTTTTTAAAAAATCTGTTTTGCTTATTTCTACATCCCCAGGGGCTAGTACAGTCCCTGGCATATGGTAGGCTGTAGGTCTTCAATAAATGTGTTCAATGTGGATTTAATATTTCCCTGACTTCTTATTCTTCTTAGATTATGTGCAAGTCATCGGTCCATTTAAAAAATATATATGCAAATAGACTTATAAGCTGATTATTTTTAATTTATATGTGTTGAATTTCTTTTCTTTCTTTTTTTTTTTTTTTTTTTTTTTGAGACGAAGCATCCCTCTTGTTGCCCAGGCTGGAGTGCGATGGTGCAACTGCAGCTCACTGCAACCTCTGCCTCTGGGTTCAATTGATTCTCC